CCCCCGCAGTAGCGGCTTGGCGGTTTCCCGTCTAGCCTAACCCCCGCAGTGGTGGCCGCCACGGTTTCCCGCCAAGCCTAATCCCCGCAGTGGTGGCCGCCGCGGTTTCCCGCCAAGCCTAACCCCCGCAGCAGTGGCCCAGCAGTCCTCGTCCCACCATGGGAGGTAAGACACACACGGCCCGGTACCGTGGTGTGACCGATTCCATGCGGGATACATCGCGAAAGATACTATCCTACATGACCTACGGCCTAAAAAACTCCCCCTCACCTAGCACCCTCCTTCCCGATGAGGGGCCACCGGTACGCATGTATGCACTCATCAGGGACCCCTCAGGAGATTATCAATAGATTAATTTATACTAATATTAAAATTTTTTTCATATTTTTTATTTTTTATAATTACTGTAATTATTGTATCATATTTTTTATTCAATTATATTTTTTTGTTTAATATCATGCATATTGTAATTTTTTTTCTTTCATACTTTTGTATAAATTAAAAATGATATTTTTCTTTTTTGTAGGAGCACTCGTTTCGATGTATTTAACGGTTTTGTACCTCGACAAAGATCGTTATGGATTTCCCATTTACCTGTTTAATCTCCGAATGTGCGCTATGTAATGACCTACTGTGTTCTTATTTTGTGTTCCTTCGTATTCTATTGCAGCAAGAAGCTTGTATTCGCATTGATGAAATTGAATTTCAATAGGTATTTGACTTAATGTAAATTCGCCTTCCCAGTTTAATACATCAAGATTTTTTGCGAGATCTGGCCATTGTAAACACTCTATATCTATAAAAATAAGCTGACCGCAGATAACGGAATGTTCGGTATTGTCTTCGTTACAACGAGTACACTTTTTGTTGCTGTAAAAATACTGCTCATTTACAGTGCGTTCTAAAGCATTCATGTAATCTGTGTAAAATGGTTTTGGATTTACTTCTAAAACGTTATATTTGTCTTCTCGCGTATATTGACATTGGAGACATTTGATATTTATTTTGCATGAAAATTCGTTCTTTAATAAGTGATTGGCAACTGAAGTAGAGATGTTGAATTTGCAATCCATTGTTCCACGTACAGAGGTAATAAATTGGCTTAATATTAATGCCATTTCTTTATATATTTTTACGGACGGTATCTTTTCACATAATTGATAATTCTTTTATAAAACGGAATGTATCGTTTTCTGTTTGTCCGAGATAAATGTGAAAATTTGCCCAATCATAATACGCAATTAACAATGTCTGCGCAATGGCGTCGAAGGGACATGTATTTATTAATAAAACAGGTTTCTTTTCGAGTATCACTGGAGCTAAAATACTATCATTTTTTAGTAATACTACAGTTTGAGTAAACTTTGGTTTTACATGAATGCTGTCCACATCTGGACAAATGGTTAAATATTTGCCACGGTTCTTAGGACTTTTGTTTTGGCCTCTCCAATTTTCTTTTTCATTTAAATAACTTGTTAAATCTGTACGTTCTTCATTAATTGTGTTATTAGATACATCCTCCATATCAATATCTTTGATATTATTAGGTGAAACGTTAACACTAATTGTTACAACTTCGTCTTGAGTGATTGAAGCTGTGTCTGAATTCCTCAAAGTTGTCGCTGAAATATTTATTTTATTACAGTTGTTATCAGTATTGATGTTACATAAAGCAGGGGACCTAACTTTATTTAAATTGATTTTATCATTAGAAATGTCATCATTAGCATCAGTATTAGCCGCATATAGCATTTTTATGGCACTAGTAAGTGTTCTAATGTGCGATAACTGTAAATTTATCGGCATGTATACATTTAGTTTTAAAAACCAGTTGTTTCAATTCTCTAAAATATTCTTCGCTGCAGGCAGAAGATGCTGTTTGTGCTGACATTATTCCTGTCTATAATGGAAAATGTTGAACAATTTCAAGAAAACTTTTAGCAAACTCAGGACACCAATATGGATTCGGCCTTTCTTCTTCAGTACTATCTTCGGTTGTTTCACTTTTTGATTGAATGCACTGCAAAAAATTCTTCATTTTTGTACCGCATTCATCGTTATCAAATTCGTTTAAATTATCATCATCAAGATTTGTCTCGTCATCATTGTCGTACAAAAGTTCATCACTCTTAATTAAGCGAATTAATCTCTGTTGTGCATTATAACAGTTTTTTTTTTCTTAGCAATTATATTTTCAGTGTCGGAAATGCTTGTAATTAAGATATCGTGACAAATATGGCGGAATTTATCAATGTCTGTACATTTTGTTAATACACCAACGCAGAGTACATAAAAATCTTTAATTCGCATATGTTTTTTCTTAAAGCATTTCCATCGACACACTAATTTTATCAAATGCGCGATGTCA